CGAAATAGGGTGAATACATCTCATTACACTGATTTACTGGTAGTATCGAAACCCTACTTTAATACGAATAAGAGTAGGACTTGTCTGGAAGGATAGAAATGGCGGCAAGAAGATAAGCACGAAGGTTGTACGCTCGATTGGGAGACTTACGGAAAGTGATGGAATGAGCCAGTCTTGAGATGAAGGCGACTTATTCAACATCTTCCGCCTTGATCTTAAATAAAATCACATTTTCTACACGACTGCTGAGAAGGCATTGAACAACTACTGGAGCCGCTGGTTCAGAGGGTAAATGTAACCCTCGAGATAGTGGAAATGTCGATGTATTTGTCATTGCAATTGATGGCACTACTCATTTCCCATCTCAGTAGGCTTCGAGATTATCCCTAATTCCTGCATAAGAACATAAGCATCGCGGCGAATCCGCCCTCCTCTTCTCGAGGGACAGTCGGTCTGCCTCCGACGTGAGCAGAAGCAGACAGAGACGGTCTGACAAACCAGACTCCAAGACTGATCCTTCCAGAATGTCAGTGGTCACGCCAAGATCTCTGGCATCACCTCGGAAGGGCGATCTCGTCTGCCCGAGTTGTAACAGAACGATATCGCTACTCCAATCCCTCCACTCCGCATACACACAAACCCAATGTCTGTGTTCACACTAGTTCGGCGCTTGCTCTTTTCAGGTGCAGTCGTTCCGTCTCTGCTGTAGCCAAGCATGACATTTCGGAAGTCGACCTCAAGTGGGCTTCGAAATTATCGGTAAATGTTGCCCAATTGTTTCAGTCATCCCAGGTCGCACAACTGCTGATGAATATCTGATAGTGAAGACCTCGCACAATCGGATGTGTTGGTCTGACGATGCCATGGAGCTTCACTTTCTGTCGGGAAGCCGGGAAAAGTACAGTTGAGTTGACTGTGGCCAAACTCCTGAGCTTATTCGAGAGTTGGTGGAGCGACTGGGAGCCTCATTTCTACAGTTCTCCTCACCTGAGCCCGTCCGCCTTGCCGGCTCGTTGCTCCAGCGACTCGCAACAACAAGTAGCCGACTATTTAGCCCTGCTGCTTGTCGTCATGGCTCCAGTTGCTATGCTGATCAACCGCCATTTCATCACCTCTTCAGGCAGAGTGACCTACATGTCTGGACAGGCCTCAAACTCTACCGTCTGAAGTAGCCCATTCTTCTGAGGCCACGCATCAGGCAGACTGCGACCTGAGGATTCGGCTGTCTGACCTCCGAAGGCTTAACAACCACGTGGCTGGTACTTCTTGTGGTCGCTTCACTTTCCTGCAATTTCCAGGCTTGGCAGATTGGCAGGCATGTAAATATGATAAGTTCATGCATATCTTTGGCCTTATTTTTCTCTCACCTTTCCGTAATTTAATAAAGAGCCACAATTGCGAGTTAAGGTGTCACAGCTTGGCTTTGGACACTTGAGTGTGAATGTAACTTTATTTTTTGCTTATTCACTTGATTTTCTCGTCGCCACGTCAGTATAACATTCAGTGTCAGTAGTTGAGACATCCAAATTTACCTCAGCATTTCGGTTAAGCATAATTTCTCTTTTTGGCATTTTCGCTCTGATGGCTTTTATAAATCTTCTTTTTTCATGATTCTATATATTTTTTTATTTTAAAACAGACTACGTGTTAGGGTAACATACCGGCTTTTTTAACAGTTGTTCATGTTTAACTAGGCTTTTCACTGCCTTCCAATTGGGCCTAGAAATCAGCCCCCAAAGTGAATGTATTGTTTAATTTAATCCCCATGTGATATCCCAAAAAAACATAGAAATATAAAGTGAATCGTTTCAATGATTCCTAAAAACATGTTTTAACTTTTCTGATTAACAAAACAGTGTACGAGCTAAGG